CTTTCCAGTCCTCGATCGTCTTTTCTTCCTTTTCCTCCTTTTCTACTTTGCCCTTGGCCTTTTGAGCACGCTTCACGCCCCGTCCGTCCTTGGCAGCTTGATGCTGGGCTGGGTCGACATCTCCCCTGGTGGCGCGGTAAAATAGGATTCTTGATATATCGTGAGGGAGATCTATCAAAGTCTTTGGTTCGAACCAGTAGAAATCGTGGGTGCTCGCCCCCGTCATCTTCTTCCGAGTGCAAGGCGCATGGAACATCATGAGCTTGTCTTCTCTTCCTTTGGCCTCTAGCTTTACGTCTCCACAACGAAGACAAATGCACCCCTGAATTCGACCACGATTCTCCAGGATGTTGTCGATGATGCGGTCGTTGAAGTCCCGGTGCCAAAACTTGTCCTGGTTTGTATTGTAAAGAGCGACGGCGGCGGCGGTTGGAGGCACTCCCTGGCTGGCCATCTGCAAGGAGGTGTCGGCGGGTGCAAGCTCCCGAAGGGCGACGTCCACGGCCATGTAAAAGTTCTTCAAGGAGGTCTTGGGTTCCTTCCAGTAAACAAGACCGGTGACGAGCCGGAGTCGCTCGGCATTGACGGGGAAAGGAAAGTTGGCCACAGGCTGTCGGTGCTCATCGAGGAGCCACTCGACTGCTGGCGAGGATTGGAGATGGAATTGGGCCACCACTTGCTGTTTTATGTTGTCGTCCATGCGTCCGAGGGCGTCATGTGGGTACAACAACCGCTGGTAGGACAAAAAAGACGACTTGACGATGCCGAACTTTTTCCCATCTTTTTCACAGCGGTGCTTGGCATTCCTATCTTTGCCAAACACCTGTCCGCCACAAGCAGATTGGGGGCATACGGCAGCCCTCGGTGACTCTTCGAACGCCTGGTAGGTGAGGTCCCCATCCAGTGCGCCAATGACCACTTTCATCGCCATGAGCTGCTCCCCTGGGATCCAGCCTCCAGCCTCCTCGGCCCTTTGGTGGCGTATCCCTGAAAAGAGTGCGGTATTAAACTCGCCGAGCCGCTTGCCGTTGGCGAGGTGAGCTTGAACGCCTTCCGGAGTGCGACCATGGGCGTTCAGGGATTGCTGGAGAGAGGCGTTTTCCTTGAGGCCAAGGAACCATTTGCTGAATGCCTCTGAGCTGGCCCGGTCGCCGTCGGGGCCCATAAAAGAGCCGTCCATGCCGAGCTTTTCTGCCAACGAATCGCGAGCTCGCAACTCTTCCAGCTGCTTGATCCGCTCCGCCGACTTGACACCCCCCCTGGTGAGGACGCCATTGTTGCGAGGATGTTGCTGCTCGACCTTGCGCCGCTTCTTTGGCCTCTCCTCCATCGTTCCATCCTCTTTCTCCTCCACGGCCTTGCCGATCAACGCGCCCTGGGCTTTGTCGAAGATGAGTTGGCGGTGGACCTCCATGTCCAATGCGTGGCCAACACCTGACCCAACCTTGACCTTTTCAAAGTCGGCCGCGATGGCGTCTAGAAATGCAACCCTCTCGTCTTGTGTCTGGGGCTGTTTGGTGGTGGCGGCCCGGTCTTCCGTGAGGCGGTTGAGAGCAACCGAAAGGGCGTGCACGTAAAGGAACCGTCTTCGGTCGTACTTTGCATGAGTCTGCCGGTAGTATATGCTTCCAGCATACCCTTTAACCAGAGCGTTGGCGAAGTCTTGATCACCGGGTCCGTAGATGACCTTTTGCAAGGTGCCGGCCTTTCTCCTTAGCTGGAGATCACGAGTTGCGTTCATTGCTTGCGAGATGTGAGCATTTTCGACGATGGTGATGTCGATTGCCTTCATTGCTTGCGGTCCTTGTACCGAGGGGTCAAGGGAATCTCGCAAGGTGAGAGGGAGGGTGGAAAGAATAGGGTTTTGAAGGAGGTATGAGACTTGAGAACTCCAACTGTGGAGTGTATATGGCTGTACCCTGCGCAAGTAAAACCCGAGCAAAAGGGCTGACAGGCTCCACCATCTATGCTCTCTAGGAAAGCGCCAGAGATCGATCACAGGCCCATCTTGTCTGCGAACGGCCTCGTGATTAGGATCTTCTCCGGTCTCGATGGTATGGAGTGACCCCAATATCTTTTTGTAAAGGGTTACGGCTCTGCCAGCAACCTCCGAGGTCAAGGATGCCTCGACTTTGCCATCTCCAACCTCCTCGGGGATAAAGTCCAGGATATGAACACAGGAAGTACCTCCATTCACAATGCGGATCCGATCTGCAAATTCTCGCTTCACATGGCTCGTAACCGGGCTTCCGAACACACCACCAAAATTGGGCAGCGTTCCCAATCTTGCCATCAGCTTTTCTTCGAGCTCAACCATCTCGTAGAGGTCTTGTGGAACCTCTTCTGGGACGGTATCACTGTCCCGGGCGTTTGGGAGTAAGGCGAACATGCGCTTCAGGGGCTCGGAAACGCTTGGGGGTGGTTCCAAATCGTGAATCCATCCCCCACGGGCCTTGTTGAGGTTGGGAGAAATGACGTCGATGAGTGTAGCCTCGATGGCTCCTAAATCGGCGTTACGCCGCCAGTCGAGGCGGTCGGAGATTGGACACGTGAGGGTGTCCCATTGAATGATGACCCAATCTAGGTCCTCGTTGAGCTGCACAAAACTTTTCATCCTGCTCTTCGTGGTGCCGGAAAGACGGTCCTGGGTGTCCCGACTGGCGACCGAGTAAATGGTGGTCCCGGAATAGGACGGGCGGAGGTCGGGGAATGTGCCCTCGATTGAGGGGTCCAGCTGAATCTCGATATCCTCGAATCCTAGTCCCTTTAGTGTGGATGCGAGCAGGCGGGTCGCTCTGTCACCGAACCCCAGGTATTGCAGTTGGAGGACTACAAACGCAAGGTTGTCTGGAAACCGTGGCCATCGCTTTGCGTATAACGAGTGTGCAATAGATTCGTCATGTTATACTATTCGATTGTTGATGGCTCTGGTATACTTCAACGCTAGATCGGGTCTCCAGACGACATTCCACACGGGGTAAACGCCCAGCTTGCGACATTTTGATTGGACCAGGTCCCTACATCTCCGTCTCCTTTGGCGAGAAAGAAGTAGCGGCCGAGGTGTCAACCACAAGCTCGTCGTCTTCCGACATTGTTTTGGAGGTTTAGGACTGGGGTTGTCGGGGGTGAGAAGGTGTAGACTTTGAGCGTTATTCGAGGAGTCTGAGAAACAATGTCAGAGGCTTCCAGGAGCACTATAATACCATGCAGCCAACTTTCTTGGCCATGCGTCGGGACACTCGATCCTAGCGCAGTGCCAATGCCATGTGCGTCTATGAATTTCCCGGGACCTAGATCATAGTGTCCCACATGGAGTTAATCGCGACCGATACTAACGTCCAAGATGTGCAAAGCCTCGAGCCACCGATGTCGCCAGGGTACACTCCAAACATGCCAAACGTCAGACAAATCTCATTAGACCATTGGAAATGTCCTGTTTCTGCTGAATAGGCTAGAGGCATTCATCGTGTTTGAAATTATAAAAGTGGGCATGTCATTGTCGGGTGGTGACTTTGAATTTTCGCCCTTTTCCTATCACCTCGCCTGAGCTTTATATTCACCCCCAAAATAATGTCCAGAGTACCTCTCGCTCAACACAACAATGCGTCCGTCACGAGCCCGACCAAGAAGGGTTCTCCTGCCGGCCGAAAGAAGCGCCTTCGGGACGCCAAGATACAACAGTATTTCCCGACAGCCACTCAGTGGCTCAAGATAACATTTCCTATCTCGCTTCATTGGTGTGCTATCCCGGCTTGGTTCCACATTGCCGCAAAACATCAGGCAAGGGACTCTGTGTACTCAACTCATCAGTTTCGCAACCATAACAAATACGCTGATGTGTACTGGTTCATCGAATTCCCTACCCGCACAAAGGCAAACGAGTGGGCCCGAGAGGCCGATGTGGCCGACCCTTACAGTGTAGAGTTTATCAAATCAGATCCTAGAGAGGTTTGCAAAATCAGCTGGAATGCATTCCCTAAACTGAGACGACGTTTAGTTCCTTGGCTACCACTGGGATGCGGAATACCCTCCGCTCATTCGAGGTGAGCACTGGCATCCACCTCTGAAACTCTCTGAAAAAATATTTAGAAGCCTCGAGGGAGTTTACCGAGTTTCCTAAAGCATTTATTGACCTCCGGTTCCAATCGGGAGGTTTGACAGTGGATGAGGCTCGTCAATGTGTCTCCACGCTGGAAGAACTTGGAGTTGACGCCTACTTTAATTACCCCGATGGCTCTTTATGGATTCCAGTACGAATCTATACCTCGAAGAGCGACATTCTCGCGACAGTCGATGCCATTTGTCACCAAGAGAGAGTCCAACGTGATTACCTATCTGTGGTGAGTGTTTGCTCTATTTCTACCCATTTTTGTGTCTGAGGCTCTGTAGGAAGAGTATAGGGACGAGCCTACCATGGTTTCGGTCACGGTAGAGTCGGAGGGACCGTGCTTCCAAAAACATCTTAGCGCGCTCTTTACAGATGATTGCACTGGAGTCGATCTTGTGGAATCAGAGCCATTGCCTACATTTGTTGTCACCTTTCACAGCCTTGGACATGCACTGCGCGCAGTGTCTGCCTGGCGCCACCACACATTCTAAAGTTGTCTGGACATTCCAGGTCCCGGAGGACGAGCGCGAGAGTTGGCGCATCGAGGAGGTTGAGCCGTAGCGTCGCGTGTAGTGTCGTGTCCAATGTCGTGTCGAGCCGTAGTGTTACCGTAGACGAGCCGTAGTGTTCACATAGACAAATAGACGAGCCGTAGTAATGTTTACCATGGATAAATACCGGAGTGAGCCGCCGGAGGCGGCTCCAAAAATCTGGAAAAATGGAGATGCGTTCAACAGCAGTGCTCAATCAGAGTGGTGATGGGTACATGGCGCAGGGGAGCGCGCGCGCGTAGCTTGGCTGGCTGGCCCCGACCCTTTCTCGCCGCGCCGGGCTCCAAAAATCTGGAAAAATGGAGATGCGTTCAACAGCAGTGCTCAATCAGAGTGGTGAAGGGTACATGGCGCAGTGGTAGCGCGCGCGCTTCGCATCTGGTGTTTGCGTGAGGTCTAGGGTTCAATCCCCTATGTATCCAATCGATCGTTTTGCCGTGGAAACGTGAAACACACCCTTTTGCATCTCTTTTTTGGGTGAGGTCTCGGGTTCAAGTCCCCACCGAGCCAAGTAAACGTTTTGGCTGGAGGACGGGTCTAAGGTGGCAGGTGGGGCCCGCCCTTGCAGGCGCACAATGGCAAGTCTAATGTTTCGCTGTTTTAACACATTTTTTGTGGTTGAAACGTCCTGACACGAGTTGAAGCGTGGCTATATGTACATGGATGCAAAACGAGCGAAACTATTGCCGACTACTGGATTAAGACCTCGACTACTGAAGTAGAACACCCTCTCCTCGCCAGTACCGGGTCGGTACGAACGGCATTTTGGTCACAGTCGCCTTTCTGCGCTTGCCTCGCACCTCGACGTCCAACTCGCTCCCGCGCTTCGAGTGTTTGGTGGCGACGTACCTAGGAGAGTTTTAGTCATTGATAAGAATAGTCACACAACGCTCACCCCATGGCAATGTTCTGCGCGGTGGTTGGGGATGGGATTCCGGAGGTGATTTTTCCGACTTGCTCTGATCCTCCTGGGGCATATAGAGGCGCACCCTCTGAAAACAATCAATAGCAGCTCAAACCGACGCTATCACCACCCACCTCTTGCTGGAGGTGCCTCAACGACGAACCCGACTCTTTTGCGAGTGACACCATCAGCAATTTGCTTTAGGATGGCTTCGGCACCGATAAATTTCGCGCTCTCGGGGGTACGACGGTCCTTGCCAATGACCCATGTCAGGCCCGCCTCCACTGGCGACGTCGTCTCGTCTAAATCGTGCCCATACAGACACAACCCTGCCTCGAGTCGAAGGCTGTCTCGTGCAGCTAGTCCTGCCAGTTGCACGGGAAACTTGTGAATCTTGCGTGTCCACTCGACGGTTTCCGACGGTGGTAAAGAGATCTAGAGCCGTGGTCAGGGGTGTTATCAGGAGTCCGGATAGTCTCACCTCGAATCCATCCTCGCCCGTGTATCCTCCACGAGCCACGTGAACGTTCACCCCGTTGATACCGAGCCAGGCACTCTTGCCAAAGGTGAGCTGCTTCAGATCGTAGCTCTTCCCTCCATTCGAGTCGACAAACCCTTGGAGGTAGTCTGCAGCCTTGGGACCTTGTAACGCGACCAGCCCCCAGTTTTCGAGAATCTCGTGCTCGACCTTGTCAGAGTGCGTCGCGTTCCATTCCTGTAGCTTTTCCGCAAACCAAGCCAAATCCTCGTCGCGTCTACCGGCATTCGTGACAACATAGTACTTGTCGGGAGAGTGCTTCGTGATCACGGTGTCGTCGATGAT